TATCAGAAAAGTTAAACTCCATGATGAGTTTGTTATGTATACATGAATTGATGACAATTAACCGAACTTGTTTTTTAAAATAAAGGGGATATCTGTCAAAAATAAGCAAAACGTTAACTTTATCCTAGTTGCATAAAATTTGGCATATGGATATAAAATTGCCGTAGACACAATTTTTTCAAGTAACTTTTTTTTAAATTCGATCTAGAAATGCACGTTTTAAATTTTTTTCAAAAAAAAAGTTGAATTTGACAAGCACTGAACGTCAGTGGGTCGCATCATTTCAAGTTAAATTTAAAGCACAAACAAGTGCCGAAGTTAAACTTCATTGAAACTTTACGAAAAAAAAAAGAAGTTTCCCATATGGTGCGCACTTTAATGGTGACACTGTATAATGTATACATTAAACTCGGTTCAATGTATAAGTTCGAAATTTTTCTATAGGACGAAACTGCAGTAACGTTAGTTACAAATAAAAGTGATAAAAAACATAGAAAGTTTCAATTCTCTTTCTTCATTATGATTCCCTACCACGTAGTAACGGCTACACCCATCAATTTATTATTATTATTATTAGTGTGTTATTACCGAGTATCCAGGACATCCTTTATTACTTGTTCATATTTATTGTTTGGCTTATTTGCCTCATTGTTATGTTATAACCCAACATGTAGGTTATGATAACAGAGGAGAAGTCTTTCTACTACACATCATTTTTATTATTGGTATGTAGTGATACAAGCGAATGTTAAGTCCTATAAATCAGGACATAATAGGAATATGTATTCTAAAAAAACGACATCACCGCGAAAGTATGCAGTCGGCAACCGCCGGTAATACTCTAGAAACGAACCGACTAAAGATTTCTAGAAGCGATCGTTACCAGGCTGAACAAATTTTTTTTTAAATATCGGGTATTGTTTTTAGATACGTGTGTAACTCAGTACATGATTTATTTATATTAATTTTCGTAATCAGAATAGCTTTCAGTACTGCGACACTTAACTGTGTTTTATCACTAGTCCATATTTTGTTCATTTGGGAAAAAACTCTTTCGACTGGTGCGTTACTACCAGGTAGACACATAACGTACTCAATAATTATGGAAAAGTTTGTTAAATGAAGGTTGTTAGTACGGAAATGCTGGAATAATTCAACCCAACGGTTTAAAGTCGATACATTCTCGGCATTCCTACCAGGGATTTTTTCATCTGTCGCATAGTTGGAAATGAATGTAAACTCATCAAAGACTTTCGTATCTTGGCTGCTGCTAATAAACCCTTGTGCGATCAGTAAATCCATTACTTTCTGCACCTCTTCCCACGTAGGCACCTTGGTTAAGTTTGTCCATTCAAACACTTCCAGTTCTTTGTTGAACTGACACTACTGCTCTAAGTATTCTTTGCTTGTTTTATAAAACTCGGCCGCCGCAGTTTTTACATTCTGCTGGTCAACAGCAATTTCGCTTTCTTGTAATTTTACAAGGAGGTTACAGACGATGTGAGGAAGAAAAATCGTATTCTCTTTTTGTGCCAGGTTATCTCGGAGACGATTAATTACCTCGTATTGTCTCCACAAAACGCCACAATTTTTTTGTTCAAGTCATTGACAGACAATACTTCTTTCAAATAATTGACAATTATATCCGATGTTTCACCTGGCTGCTCCCGAAACTCTAAAACTTTGACTTTCACGCCTTCGCATGGTTAAAAATAGCGAATCAAAACTGGGAATACTTTGATTGAGTCATGGTTTGAAGCATCTGTTAGTAGAGTTAGGCAGTGGGCTTTGAGTAAATGCTCTTTAAAATCTTCGGTTGCCATAGTTGACAGCACATTTACCACAATAGCTTGAGATTTTGTACGTGCACCTCTAAATTTTTGCTCAAAACATGCTTAAATTAAAGGAGAAGAACAGTCATTTGAACAAAAACTGTGATTATGTTGCACGCTGTGAAACGCTTAAGTACCCTCAGCTGCAGCTATTTCCAAATCCTTGGAAGTCGGCAAATCGGTTTTCTAAAAAAAACTAACCATTGACGAGCTTGAAGCAGCAGCTTGATAGGCAAGCCTGTGTTTTTCTGATTTTAAATGGTGTTCTGTATCACTGGCACCACCATGTACAACACTAAAATCAGTATGACACTTTTCAAACGTAACGTCTGCGGTACCATCTTTTCTTTGTTTTATAAATGGATATTTCTGTTGCAAACTAATATTGAAAGAGCACTTGCGTTTAGGCATTTGTTTTACAAATCACTGCATTGCGTACGATACTCGTTTTGTCCGACTTGAACTGAATTAAAACAAAACATTGCAGTCGTTGCCGGAAGACGGAACATCGGTAAGTGCGGGCGGAAGGGATTTCCGCAGACGTTACGTGTGTTATCTATCTGTCCTGCTCACACGCATTGGCGCAGCACCGCGTGGGCGGGCGGTGCGCTCTGTCGTTATTTGCCTGCCCGTGCGGGGAGTTGGGCCTCGCATTTCGAGCGGAAAAAATAAATTTTAGACTATTGTTGGGTCTGCTTTCAAAACCGGGACTATATTGGCTTCCCTGGGGACACCAGGATAGACTGCCTGAAACCGGGACTGTCTCGCCCAAACCGGAACGTATGGTCACGTTAATCATACATAATACATAGGGCGAAAAAATTATCGTACATCTGGCAAAGCACCACATACGTTTCTAAAAGTCAATTAAACTGCCAGAATGAAAATGAAAAGATAAATACATGAGCACTCTTCCGATCATCCACAATTTAATTTCAATTTACGTAATTTTGTGTTAAATAGCGTCCGACAAAAAAATCGGTCGCATACGTCCATTTTTATTTCGAAGGAAAATCTTGGTCTGAACATACTTATTTCGTGAAGTTCTTACTCAACCCCCCAAGAAGCTACATATATGGACTGAAATTCATGGCGACCGAGTAGTTGATGCTTTTTTCCCACAAGGAAATCTCGGAAAAGAAATTTTCATCAAATTGTGAGAAGACTTAAAATTATTATTATTATTATTATTCTTACCCTAACGAGATTCTCGATAGCGTCCCTGTGTCTGCTTGATAAATGTCCTAGTAGCGGCTTGTTGGCGTCTCGCAGAAGGACTTCTATCGAGTGAATCGTGTAAGCCAAAGTTTTCCAACACATCGGAGCGAGTCGTTTATCTGAAGGGTGAGGGTTGACGTTTAACCCTCGCGTGTATGCAACCTGAGTGAACAGTTGGATCATGTCTTTGTGAGGTTCGTCGATGAAAGGAACTTCCGTCGGAAATAGCTGCCGAAACTTATCAGATAGATCGGAGTCGAGCTCGTAGCTGTAAAAAACTTGATGAGGCTGCAGTATCCAGTTTACTTCACAGTCAACACTCGGAGGCTCGATGTTCGTGCCATGCATGCACGCGTCACAGTGTTTGTTGTTACATTCATCTGAGGTGTTGCATTTGAAGACGCCATGACAGACCATTTGCTTTTTGGCTAGGACTTGGGAGATACCGGCTATGAATTCTTGGAAAGATATATCGTTTTTTGGGTACGAGGGTTGAAGATAGTTGAGGGAAGGAAGTAAGGGAAGGACGGTGTTGCTCAAACATTCGCACAGTGGACAAAGAAATTCTTGCTTGTCTATGTCGAAGCTGGCTGGATGCCTTAATCTAGAAAAAAACGGAGTCTTTTATGATAACTCATAAACGGTAATTTTGCCTATTTTTTTCACAAAACATGTTATCAAATGTATTTGAAAGATTATATAATATGAATTATGAAGACAACTTTCATTACCAAAACATTTAAAAAATATTTACTGTTGTTGCCTCCTTCACTATACAAGAACAAAGCCGTAGCCAGGGGGGGATCAATCCCCCTTGATCCCCCCGAAAGTTCTACAAGCAACGGCCATCCAAAAATTATATCAAATACAACGATTGCCTTTTTTAAACATCACGAGAGTCATGAGAATAACACCAATCACGGCAATGGAATTAATTGCTGGTCTGTCCCCTCTGGACAGGAGGTTGCGTTAATGGCCATGTTACGATTGCACCCGGCTGGTGTAAACCTCGAAGTAGGAATGGGTCAATTGAGGCTGAGCCTATGGCAAGAAGCGCTCACTGCGCAACCTCTGCTGCAGGCAACCAGTGATGCAATTGAACCAGGTTTGTGTTTAATAAACCCTACAAAATACAAATAAAACAGAACATAGAGTCAGATAATACAAATGCAATACGCATATATACAGACGGCTCAAAAACCAAAGAAGGCTCAGGATGTGAAGTGTACTCCAAATCACTAAACCTAAGGATTAAGTGGCGAATAGGAAAAAATACCAGCGTGGTTCAAACAGAACTGGATGGTATATCAATTGCCACAAAATAAATAACCAGGAAAGACATTTCTGGCAAAAAAAATAACAATCTGCACTGATAGCAGACGAGCCCTATTAGCCTAGAACAGACAACGTGTTACCTCAGGGCTAGTACTAGAGAGCCACCAAGATTTAGCCAAAGCCTCGCTAGATAATAACATTATCCTGATGTGGATTAAAGGCCACGAAAGGAGTAAAGGTAACCAGGAAAAATCTACGCTTAACAGTAAGATTTCTGACTGTCAACTAAGAAAACGCCTCCATAATATGGGGTTAGTGGACACACCTTTATGCGGGATGTGGGAACAGGAAGATGAAACTGTCAGGCATGTCCTATGCGAGTGTGCACTCGGCGAGTCTTGGCCTACACCTGCCGATATGAAGGAGATGTCTATTAGTGACCTGTCCACCTTCCTGGAAAGGACAGGATCGACGATGACCTAGGAGGACAATTCCTTGGGAGGATGTACAATGGGTCATATGTGACCTAAGTGCTGTGGGCATACACTCACCCTCCCTACTCTACAGATACAGATATTATTGGAATTAAAAAATCCGTTAAAAATTTTATCAAGTCCTTGGCAAAACGAACCAAGTGCTTGAAAGAGTGCTTTAAACTTCGTATAAATTACCTGCATATTATCTTTCTCGTTTTTGTTTAAAAATTAGCCATTTTCAGCTTACATCTGTTACCAATACGATCTTCAACAATCTATTCAGTAACTAACAATAACAGTTCATCGAATCACCAAAAGTTGTTTTCTGTTACAAAACAACTTCTTCGGCAACCCTCAAGGACCTAAAACAAATCTAAAGGGGTTCAGTCGGGTGATCTTGTAGGCCACTTATGACACCAATGCATGGAGAGTGATGAGTGCTCTACAAAAAAAAATAATATGTTGGTAAGATATATATTTGTATCTAGATTGAGATCAATATTTTTGTCTAAAAACGTTTATTACTACTCACATTAAATATAAGAGAAAAGTCTCACCTGTAAGGTCTTCTGTGCTCTCGAAGCATAATATTTTCAAAATACTTCCTCCAGCAATCACTGTGCATTACATGGCCGCACGTGCTGGTGTGGGGTGAAGGCCCTAAGTTGGCGTGAAGATACAAGGGATCATGCCTGGAGACATCCATAAATTGTTCCTCATGTTTATTTTGACAGAGAACAGTAGCCTGTTGCACAAAGGCTGCGAGAACCATAGTCGGCCCATCAGCAGTGATTTTTTCTTCTTCCTGGCATAGTATGCAAATGTGATTATTTTCAACGGAAAGCCTCGCGGATTGATTTGGTCCTAGAGCAATCGGCTCATCCTCCAGCGTTACTGACATGTCCATGTTTTCGACTAGACTCGATGTTCTGGTTTTTCTACGTGGAAACATATCTTTTGAGATTATACTGAATAATCAAAAAATGTAATCGAGCAAAATTCACATTTGTAACGCAATTACAGTACTGGTAGATTTGGGCTGATACGACAAAAATTTAAAATAT